GGATTAAGGGACTTGTTGGAATAGATGTCTATTTTGAAATTGAGCACTGTGTAGACAGAGCCAAATTTCAAAATAAGCTATTTTGAAATATACTCTAAATAAGCTACTCAATTTGCATAGCTCAAATTGCGTAGCTTATTTCAAACTATGGGTGCAGTGTACATGCACTCTCTTATTTGGTAAACCAGGCTGAGGACCATAATTCTGACTCAAAGGGGACATCTACATATCAGGGCTAAACACAAAATAAGTTATGCAACTTGAGCTACACTAATTGCGTAGCTTAAGTCGAAATAGCTTATTTCGACTTTTGGTGGTGCCTTCACAGCAGTTATGTTGAAATAGAGCACTCTTCCCCCAACTTCCCTTATTCCTCATGAAATGAGGTTTATAGAAGTCAGAGTAAGAAGCCCGTTATTTTGAATTTATTTGCTGTGTAGGCGTGCACTACGTTATTTTGGAATAACGTCAGTTATTGTCTACCCTGGTATATAGACATAGCCAAATGTTGGTGAGTCATCCAAGAGCTATCTAAAGATGTTCGGACCCTTTGACAGGCTAGAAGGGCAGGGCCACTCATTAGCTAGTTTAATTCTCTACAATTTTTCTATTTGAATTATGGTAGTGCCCACAACATTCTAGATACTATACAGACAAAGGAGTAGACAATCCATGCTTTGAAGATAGCCTTGTAATATGAGCAATCAACAAAGCATGAAGGAAAGAGTTAAAACATATCAATACAGTCAAAGCTGTCACTGGTGAACACTCTGGTGTGAAATCTACTCACTGTATTTGTCAAATGAACATACTGTATTTTTATAATGCCATTAATGCCCATTTGGTGGCTCTCTTCTTTTTGGGGCCAGAGGTTTCACCCTTAACATAGGCCTTTGACTCTTACCCAAAGCAGACCCTATAACAGAGTCAAAAAGATTCCAATTAGAAGTGCCAATCTTTGGAGGTAATTTAACACCAAGAGCCTTTCAGCTAGTGGCTGACAAGGTGGAAGTTAACTTTTCCTTCCAAAACAGTAGAGAATAAATAAAGCTGCTATTCAGGTCAACATTTCCTCTGCCCATTAAACAATTTCCAATATTCAAGGTCGAATAGCACATTCTAAGTCTCTCATTTGCATACGGAGCCACTGCCCTACAAAACATAAGTTAATACTTTGTAAAGAACTTTGAGGAACCTAGAGTATGACAGACACTATAGAAAACCAATTTCTATATTATATTTCTTACGCATATTTCTGCTACGATGTGGTTCATGATTGTTTTGTCAGAAGGAACAAATAATCAATACAAAACCATGAATAAAAATAACTCGTCTTTAAAACTGAATGCTAAAAGAACATACAGCTTTTTACTCTGCCTAAAGACAACTCATTGCTTATTGAGGGTAGCCGAAAGCTATGCTATTATTTTTTAAATGTTTAAGCGTAGAAGTCGAGCCACTGCTGTAAATGGCTCGGTTTGCCCTTAGCTTGAAACTCTGAAGAGATGCACAACTATTTCAAATGATGTTTGCATAACAAAATGTGAAAAAATTAATAAAACATTAAAAATCAGTAGAAATAACAGAAAAATAAAAATGTCTCTCTCTCTCCTCCAGAAACATCAAAACCATTTATTAACGTAGTCACTGTGAAATCCTTTCAAGGCTCAATTCTCCTCTGTTTCACTGCACAATAAATTGTCATTAGTGGGTAGAATGTGGCTCTCAACCTCCAGAAGAGGCTGGTTCTTAAGGTAACATAAGAAAAATACTGTTAATGCTACAGAAACATAGGACCCTCCTGCTGTGAGGGCAGGGGACTGTATTTGATCTCTCGAGGTTCCTTCCAGTTCTAGAATTTTATGATTCTATGACACTGGCCCGATCATTTA